TATATATATATATATATATATATATGTATATATATATATATATATGTATATATCACTAAATAGCGCAAGTTAGATATTATTGTAATGTTCCGGACCTTTGCACGAGGAGTTTTTGTCAATCTGGGCCTTTTGGAATTTGAATTGAATACCCCTGCCCTAGTGTATGGTATTTGTGAACTGTTGGCCTTGGGGCTGAGGGTGGCAGACGTCAGAATGTGTTGAGAGTCAAACTAACATATTCTTGACTTTGCCCTTTTAGAAACCTTTAAATGCATTAATTGTGAAAACAAAGTAGAACTAAGTTTTAACCTTGAAGAGGTGTGTTTACATGCACATCTCTTTAGCATCTTCTCTGTCTACTTTTTCATTGCCAGTGAGTAACATTTCCCCTTCCCTCCACCCTCAGGCGGCCCTCCTGGCACCACTGGACGAAGACTTGGTCCGTGACAGGAAGCCGACTAGCGGAAGCAATAAAGTGCCAGACTTCCCTTCTCCGGCGGGCCGGGAGATCCTGCTGCGTACATGTGTCCCTCGGCCGGCACCGTACTCCAAAGCTCTGCCTCAGCGCCTTTTCTGTGTGCTGATGAGGGAGGAGTTCAGGCTGGCAGGGGCCTTCTCATCAGACACTTCCTTCTTCTAAGACCAGACGGCCATTACACAGTAGTTCATCTGAAACCATGTTCACCTGGAAGTCACTGCTGTCAGAGCAGAGACATAAAATGATTCACTCTCTTAATTGATCGGTTTGTGTGTGGGTATAAATGTTTGTCCAGTGAATGTTTCTATTCATGCATGACGTGTTGTCTATATAACTCTAGCCAACACATTAATGAATATTGCTATCTGAAATGAGGAGATCCCTTTATATTACTTTATATTATTTATTGCATTGCATTGTGGTTACTTAGTAAAACAAAAACGGAAGTGGAAAAGGGTAATGTTTCTCAGCAGCACACTTAGACTCTGTTCTACCGACTGCAACTTAGAATGCATGTCATCACAATGACTCTGTAGAAGAGTGGGCAGCCTAAAGTTAGAAGTGAGGGGGGTCTGACTCACACTGGTCAAACACTACACACTCACCCATACAGTTCATTCAGATGCTTCTCTTCCACTATACAACACTATACCACTGTTTTCACGTAGGATTTCAAGGTTCCACTTTCAAAAGAACAAAGTTTTTGTTGTGTTGGAAAGCTCCGAGATGGTATATGGATTATAATCCATAATACGTCAATACAAGTTGTGCATATTTGTCTTGTCCCCAGATAAAAACAACTTGCCAACCTTCCGTCTCCTGCAGCTCTCTGTGATAGCTGATCACACAATACATGAAACATGCAAATACATAAATCCATTTTACCTTCAGAGCTTATTCTTTGTACATTTTGTGTATTGTTTTGGCCACATGTTTCTCTTGTTCTGGTCTCCTTCATATAGGTTGTACTGTAACCTTATTGCTGACCACATGCCACATGATAGTATAACATAAATGACTCTTCAAACCATTCTTCTGTCCTTGTGTTGTGGTGCACAGCGAGGCTTTACTCGTCCTACTTGATGTGTTGATGTCTTTTCAGCTCTGGTTTAAAGGCTGAAGCAGTTGCTGATACATCCAACCAGTGTTTTGGACAGCAGTGCTCGTTGATGACACATAAGAGCAGTCACACATCTTATAGAGCCTGCTCTGAAGTACAAATACAAAAATCAAACGCAACTTATCGCAGCTGAAGCCAGTGTGATCACTCACAAGTTTGCATCCATTGAAATGAAAAATGGTGGTTTTGTCTCTTTAAGGTTGATGCTTTGTAGGTCTAACAATGATGTAACAAGTGATGTGAGACACCTGTGTATTTAGTGTGTGTACAGTACATGTACTGTATTGTTGGTGCTCTAATGTAAAAATAAACACTGTCCTGTCACAGTCGGTAAATGTGGCTTGGCCATGTGCATCATCAAACATAGACAGTGTGGAGGTGAGGAACCATGTTAACACTGGACTGCTTGTTCAGACCACCTGTGCAACAATAGTTAAAGGACTCTATAGCGTCATGGAGCTTCTTTATGAATGGGTCCCTGTTGTGTTCAAGTCGTACAGGCACACAAATATACATGCGACACGTGTTTTGGTTTTACAGCCTCCAGCTATACTGTTCAACAGCCTCACCAGCATCAGCAGCTGTTTTCAACTAAAAAGATCAGCCCACTGCACACTACCTACTCAGCAGCAAACAGCACTGAACTTTGTTTCAGCCCTCTAGCTTCTGTATCTGTAATGTAAAGTATTATCATCACATTATTAAAGTTGGGAGACCCACAAAAGGGAGATTTCTTTAAATGTTTAGTCAAAGTCATGCAGTAGAGGCCGACAGGTCAAATAAATAAACACTGAATCCACTTCCCAGGATGCATGATAGAACCATTTGTATGTAGCCCAAACTTTGCCCAAGCCTGATACATAAACATACATACATACATAAATAATATACTATATCTATAATCCACACACAGTATTAGGCTTCTATCTATTTTTAAGTTATATTTCTCTTCCTATTCCATGCTTTGGAAATAAATTCAGAAAAGGCAAAAACATTATAAAATGTAATCAAAGGTCCATCCTCTTTTCTATTTTTATTTGAATCTGGAACATTTTCAAATATTTGTTGCAAATCATGATATAAAGAACTGTAGAGGATAATATCATTTACTTTTCCTCCTCTTTCAGCTCACAATATTCATGTAAAACAATGGTTATGCCAGAAGGTAGAAAAATTATCTAAAAGTTATTCAGCACGTATTTGAAAAAGATCAGCAAAACTATTTACAGTTAAAAAGCTAAAACTTGCAAACACACTGGTATGGCCCTTTAAAGTGCTCAAAAAAAACAGGACATTTGGGCAACTGGCCAAAGTCCAACTACTGATTAAGATCATGTGATATGATCAAAAGCTCCAGAACAGCTACTCAATTTATATTGAGGTGATAATATAAAAAAAAATACTCTATGTACAATTGACCTCAGATGAGCACATAAGTAGCAACACTGACTGAACAAATAGTGTTACATTCTTTATCAACAGAAACGCGCTCTCCAGAGATGTGTTTATGTAATTTTCCATATTTCCCAGCTGTTTCCACACATACATTCTACATTCTGCAGAAACATCACAATGTAAAGAGAACATGATGCTGTTACGTGCTCCCCCCTTCTAGAGTGTTTTCTCTCTCTCTCTCTCTCTCTCTCTCTCTCTCTCTCTCTCTCTCTCT